AAAGCAGTTGAAAAATATTAAAAATACACAAGCACAGTTTATTTTTATAGTCATTTTAAGTTCATTTTTGGACGAAATTACATATTAAAAAACCTAGCATTTAGTTATTTTGTTATGATTGCATAATATTATTCGTGGGTACCTACTTAAAACTTCTAAAGTGTACTATTATGTATCTATGATAGTATCACGGTTTTTTGTTGATGTATAACGCATTATCAGTACTTATTGGATATTGTGATATGATTAATTTTTAATTTATTATAGGTACCTATTATAGGTCAATATTTTTTAAAATACCATAGATATGTATATATATGTCTTAAACCTAGACCGACATACCGTCTCCGCTCAGAATCGTTTTTCTTATACAATGATATTATATCATTGAATTAAAATCTAATACCATCGATTATACAGTGACCCACTTGTGACCCACAGCAGAGCACCTTTTTTGGCTTGTATTAATTTTTAAATTGTTAAACTTTGCTTAAAAATTGTTTTGTTTTTGTATTCCTAGTTTACTTCAAGACTCTAGAGAATCACAAAATGATATTTAAAGTATTAATGAGTTACAAGATTGGATGGACTCTAAAAGTCACCTCAGAAAGTAGTCTTATGGTTTAATTGATGAAAATTCAACAAACATGTCAAGGTAATGTTACACTACAATAATAATTTATGTTAATTAAACATAGTTCCAATTTAAGCTAAGATAATTCTACCTGTGCCTAGCTATAATTTGTGCTATAAAATCATGTATAATGTATTTTGTGTTTTTTGTTATGTTTTTATGAGTAGTATACTTCAATATGATAATGACAATATGAGATACACAAAATAAAAACATTTCTTAATATTAGTATCAGATAAATATATAATTATTGAAAGCCTGCATGTATTAATAACAAAATAATACCGGAGTAGGAACTAGAAATACCTTAATGTTTTATGTTTATACATTAAATGTACTAAATGTCTAAATATATAATACTAATTGTCACTGAACAATTTATTTTTGTATATTATGTTATAATATTGTACTATGTTTTACTATTTTATTAATTTTTATATTAACCTTATGGAAATAGACTAAAAGTGTATTGCATAAATGCAAACATGTTGCACAGAGTGCATGCTATACCTAAGAATACCCAAATTACATTTAAAAATCTATGTCTTTTAATTTAGTAATTATAATATAAGATAGTAAGTACACCAAAATGTAATTTAATAACAAAATTAAAATAATTTGTCATGTTTTAGATTAGTTGAATAATCATCTTGTGAAGAATCACCATCAGAAAAGGCACCAATCAAAATGGATAGTAAGTTTACCAGAAAAAAACAAAGAAAACCCAAAAATTGGAAACAATCAATCAATAATGATTTGACTGAAAAAGGACTTGAACATGTATCTACTACAGTGTCAGCAGAAATGATAAAATTTTATTTATACTTAATTATAAATCCTTATATACTTCAAAAAGTAAAAATAAATCAAAGGACAAAATTTTACCAGTATAATTTCTACAAAACTAGTACATTAATCATTATTGATTAGCAGGGCTTGTAAGTTCATGCATCTGCATGTTTTTTTTGCTACACAGGGAAACATGCTAACTGAGATACAAATCCGTTTCATAACAATAGTAATAATAATATGAAGTTTGATAGTGCATGTTTTTGCATGTTTTGGGTGTAAAGTCATATTTGGCATATGGTTGATTTTTTACAGTCGTTAGTGCATATTATTTCATAAAAATATTTTTTAGACAAATATTTGGAAAGTTTCTTCCGATTTTTGATATCTTGTTCCAATCGTCCAATATCGCATGGTAAATTATAACGGTTTTTAAATTTTTTATTGATTAATTATTTAGCTAATTAATAAAAATATCGAAAATCGGGCTTCTTACGATTGTAAAAAAAGTTCTACTCTACAATTTTTATAATAGGTATTTTTACTGTAAGCCACTTCAATAAGCCGTATTACTTGAATTACGAAACCATGGTTTTATGCCATATTTTGTCTACTAGTACTATGCCCTCTTAAGTTGGAAAACATAAAAAATACACTTATAAAATATATATTACTAAATTATCTCAAAATGAAAAACCTAATATTTAATTCCAAATGTTTTCATTGTTTAGTGCAGAATAAGGGTGTACACAAATTAGACAAAAATGACTACCTAATTAAAATTTATAAAGATGACAAAGCTATTTGAACTTCACAAGTATTAATTTTATTTTTTATTTTATTAATTTTGACTGTTAAATAATATATAAAAATAAAAAGGAGTAAAATACTTTTAAAATGTATGGATTTATTCTTATTTTAAAATTTGGTCATGTTTTTTTTACATAATGCATATTTTGAGTTCATAATTTAAAAATGTGAAGGCATATAAATGCACATTTTTGAACTTTTAAGTGCATATTTTAATGCATATTTTGACAATTTTTAGTGCATGAATGCATGCTTATTTATGCATTTTTTAGTGCATGCAGTTACGAGCCCTGTTGATTAGAGTCTGCAAAAAATTTTTTCTTAAACACATTATGTATTAGCCAAAAGGTTATTTATAATTGTCATTCATCAATGAACCCACTATCATTAACTCCGCCTGATGAAAAGCGAGACAAGAATACAACTAGTCATATAAAAGCAGAGGACAAACAATATGCCATAGACCATATATCTAGTTTCTCTACTGTTGAATCACATTATTGCCGGCATGATACAAAAAAGCAATATTTAGATTCTGAGTTGCACATATCAAAAATGTACAATCTATATACAAATAAATGCTTTATAGATTAGAACCCCAGAACGCCGGTAAAAGCTCACCCGAATAGATCATTATTTAATTGTAATTTCAACCATGGATTTTTCTTCCTAAAAATGATTTATGTGCTACATGTGAGGAATTTAAATTATCAAGTAATAAACAATGTCAGTATGAAGAACATATACTTAAAAAAGATACTATGAGAATGGAAAGACAAAATGGAGACTTTATGGAGATGAAGACCAAAATAGATGTGATCAAGAAAATGTAGTTGTTGTTTTAACTTACAAAATGTTATCACACTTCCAAAAACAAATGTCGGCCAAGCGTTTTATAAAAAAAAATTAAATGTTTAAAACCTTACAGCTCATTTGTCTACTTCCAATATTATATAATTATTGTGCTATTTGGAATGAATCAATTATTGGTAGATAGGGAAATGACCTTGCAAGTGTGTTTATTAACATATTACAACATATTGTTGATAATAATTTGGGTATACTTAACATTGTTACATGGTCTGTTAGCTGTGTGCCACAAAACTGGAATAAGATAATGTCATTATTGGTTTATGTTGAAAAATCCCAGAACAAAATCTGTTACAATGAAGTTTTCAGTTCCAGGCCACTTGTGCATCCAAGAATTGAATAATGCATATTCACAGATTACGAAACATATAAAAAAATAGATAAATGGTCACCATTGTCATTTGTTAGATCTTTACTAAAAGTTAACTCAAAAAAACCTTTTATTGTCTTACAGATGTCTCTAAATAAGTTTAAAGACTATAATAAGGTTTGACAACTATATAACTTTAGCCAAATGGCATTTTTTTAAATTTGTTGTTTATGCTTTAATCAACATTTGTCTACCATAGTCAAATACTAAAATGTAATACAAATGTATGTTGATGCTTTGGCCGATGCTTTATACACAATTTTAGCCGTTCACACAAATGCTTTTTTTCTTAAGTTCAAAACATTTACTAGTTACTGAGTGAATTATTCAAAATATGAATAAGTACTTAATTTTAAAGGATTATTATTTTTTTTAAATACATTTTAACAATTAGAATACCACAAGTTGTATTCGAATTATGGCTGAATTTATAAATCAAAACTATTCAGCTAACATATTCAGCTAACAATAATACAAATAACAGTTATAAATGAAAAAGTTTTAATTGATGAATCTATTTCTATTTATTTTAGGTTGAAAAGTTCCTAATTGTAGAACCAATTTATTATAATATGTATTTTATTAATTTTAATACCAACCAATACAGCAAATTATTATTATAGTGATGTGAATTAAACTATACAAGTTGCTAAATGCCTTAGAACTTTTAAACAACATGATTTCAAGGAATAAAATATTTAAACTCAAACCTTAAAATTGCTCTCTTAAAATTTTTGGTTATCTCATATACCGTGTGTTCACCAATTTAGGGAACACTGAATTTCTCGGCTGGATATGTTGGAATAAATCGAATTTTTTTTACAAGCTTGTGGTATATAAATACACATTTTCAGATAAATTTCAAATTTTTAAACCTTTCGGTACGCGCATGCGCAATGCAACTTACTTTTTTTTAATAGTAACATGTAGTTTTGATACCAAATTCGGATAGACTGAATTTTTTTTAAGTCATTTTGACCAGTTGACCATGGCTCTAAAACCAAAATTGACTGAATGAGAGCCATTCAAATTTCAATAAATAATACATTTTTACAATTCACTATAAAATGCATAAAACCATTTATAATTATTTATTATTGGTTACTTTTTGAATATCTTTACGTATTTTTTTTTATACGTGTTATAAATAAGATTAACATAATATGGATATAAAATTATTTAATCAAAATTGATTACAACAATTATTTTATAAAACATGAAGTTATCGAGGTTTTAAATAATAAGATAATCTTAATTGACATAGTTATTCAGATAATTTAATACTAGATAATCATAAGTTATTAATAATATGCATTTATTGCACATGAATATTCACTATTATTAGATGTTTAATACCATTAAGCGATAAATTATACCTACATATTAATTCGTAATTGTTTATAGGTAGAAAAACCGTTTTTATTATTAAATTTATACATGAAAGTTTAGATAAAATGATTCATTTTTATGTTGGTGGTCATTGGTCATACTAGTACGATTAGTTGGGTTAAAGTGTTAAACGTTAAAATGAACAACCAAGAAAAAGTGCAAATTCTATTAATTTATGGTAATAATTATTGATTAACCATGGAGGATTTTCTGTAAAAGTAGTCCGTAACCAACAAATTAGAGAAAACAATATTAATGAAGGTGTGGAACTTCAAGTTTTAGCTTACATTAGATTGAATCCAAGATCTTCGGTTAGACATGTTGGTAGAGAAGTTGGAATCTCGTTTGGCCTTGTACATAAAATTTAAAAAAAACACAAAATGCATCCTTATACAAACCTGACTTTATTCAACATTTACGACCTGCAGATCCAGAAAGAAGGTTAAATTTCATTGCACGGTTACTCGTTCAAATCGATACAAAACCATTATTTTTAAATCAGATATTACGGACTGATGAATCTAAATTCACGAACAATGGAGTTATTAATAACAAAACAATCGTATGTGGTCAGATGTCAATCCCCATTGGGCAGTGGATAATCGTTACCAAACTGTGTGGGGTACTAATGTTTGGTGTGGACTTATTGGTGGAAAATTGTTAGGTCCGTATTTCTATGAAGAAAACTTAACTGCAAGGCGATATTTAGCATTTTTAACAAATGTTTTACCACTGATGTTGGAAAATGTACCATTAGCTACACGTCAAACCCTCTATTTTCAGCAGGACGGAGCTCCTGCTCATAATGCGCGTATTGTTCGAGATTACATGAATCGGGTATATGAGGGAAAATGGCTTGGCACTTATGGACCCATTGAATGGCCAGCAAGATTTCCAGATATTACATCACTTGATTTTTTTTATGGGGACATTTGAAAACAGTAGTCTACGCAGATCCACCAGTTAACCTAGCAGATTTAAAAAATAAAATCTTGGTTGTGTGGAATAACCATACTGAAAGTCAAATAATGTCAGCAACTAATAGAGGATGTCTACAACGTTTTCAATTATGTGTTGACAATCACGGAGCAAACTTAGAACAATTTATTTAATTAATTGTGTAGTTATAAAATAACTGTTGTAATCAATTTTGATTAAATAATTTTATATCCATATTATGTTAATCTTATTTATAACACGTATAAAAAAAAATACGTAAAGATATTCAAAAAGTAACCAATAATAAATAATTATAAATGGTTTTATGCATTTTATAGTGAATTGTAAAAATGTATTATTTATTGAAATTTGAATGGCTCTCATTCAGTCAATTTTGGTTTTAGAGCCATGGTCAACTGGTCAAAATGACTTAAAAAAATTCAGTCTATCCGAATTTGGTATCAAAACTACATTTTACTATTAAAAAAAAAGTAAGTTGCATTGCGCATGCGCGTACCGAAAGGTTTAAAAATTTGAAATTTATCTGAAAATGTGTATTTATATACCACAAGCTTGTAAAAAAAATTCGATTTATTCCAACATAATCCAGCCGAGAAATTCAGTGTTCCCTAAATTGGTGAACACACGGTATACCTACCCGGCGTATTCACTTGCACGTTGTGGTCGCTCGGACAATTATAATTAAAAACATCCCTCGACTTGTTATGTAAAACTTGTTATGAATTATTTTTGCACCATCATTCTGAAGACGTTGATTTAATTAGGTTAAAAAAATTGTTATTTGTTATACCTACTTAAGCTAGGTAAACTTTAAGCGTTGTACGGGTGCGTAAAACACCGAAAATCGTGAACGTCGTTAGGTTATGCGATAACAACTAATGATTTCCAAAAAAATTGAAAAATTTGCTTGGGTGCTAAACTATATGGTTAAATTATTTTGTAAATTATTTATCAGTTTAAAAATCATAAAGTTTCTTGCCCCAACCACTTTTTTATTATAAATTTGTAGGTAAAAATTTAACTTCCCCTGAACTGGGTCTATGGAGTATGGCCTCCGGCGGGTACATTGCAGACCACAATCATTTCTGTAAAAGAACACACGATTTATCAATAGACCGTTTATGTGCTGAGTGTAGAAGTTCTATGGATTTATCATATTAAGAAATATATTTTATATCATCTATGGCAATCGCCAATTGTCGACATTCGTCCGCGACGATTAACAATTCTAATAATTTTAGTGAAAAAAAAAATAAAAAGCCATCAATATGGTCAGATAGTTCGTTGAGCCGTATATATTATTATGTAAGTTTTAACACGAATTCGCACATTTCGTTAGTTCAGGTAATTTTCATAAAATAATTAATTCGATAATTTCAAGTTACAGTTCGGAACGAGATGAAGATATCCGTTTCTTCGGTGGCGTCACGTACTTGCATTGTTGATGATGCACTCTAGCTAGGTTTCACCGGGAGAGTCGATGTTTCAGCGTAAGTTTTTTTTATAATTTCATATTATTTTGGGATTTACGTTTACTTTTTAGACATTTTAATAATTAAAAACATAATATAACGTAATGTTGTAGTAGAAGCTGGAAACTGTAGTACCTATATTCTAATTAATAATCCAATTAATGTAATTTTTTTAATTTTTTAAATTTTAATGTAACATTTATTATGCCTACACAAAACACTTATACCTACCAAAATTGAATTTTTCACAAAATTTGTTGTTTTAACAATAAATGACAATTTTAGTTCCCTATTATGGTGAAAGTATTTAATACAAACAAAAAATTAATGTTCGAAAATACAATTTCCTATATTATTATTTACTAAATACAAAGAAATTTAAAAATAAAACTATGATCATTGATTACATACAGATTACCTATAATATATTATGCATGGAACACGAAAGTTTATTTTGACTAACTACTTATCGTGTACGCATCAAACACAAAAAAAAAATAATAACAAAAAATTAAACATTAAATACACATCATAGTAAAATCAAAATATTCATCGCTCCGCTCAGAATCTAAAATATAAATTATAGGTACCTATATGTACCCGATACAATTAAATTAACATAATATTAAATAATAATTAATAATTTTGTGATCAGCAGTATTCGTAGAAAATGTTAGACTTGGAATTTTACAAATCTAGTTGGTATAATGGTAGGTACTGTAAATTTAATGTACTTAGGTACTGTATATCTTCATGTTAACTCTAAAATCCAGGAATCACATTTTCATTTAATGATTTTTAAAATACAATATTATGCTTTTATAAAAATATGCTTGTACTTCTGATATATATTCACCATATTAATAAATAATTAAATTAAGAAACGAAAATAATAATTAAAATAATATTTATATCATATTTAATATTATTATAATTGAAATTCAAAATTATAAACTATTCTGATTTTTGTCATAATATAAAATTTCAACGAACAAATATTGTTCCTTAACACGGAACTCTTTGACATAAAAAGCTGCGGTACCTATATGATATCCGTGGTTTCATCTTATTCACGTACCTAGTATAATATCTATCATTTATATTCCATGGCAAATCTCAAATCCATTGCAGAGGACACAGTCGTCATTAAAAATTCCAAAATTTCAATAAGCAAAGCCGATATGAGCAAAAAACTTACTGCGTTCCGTATAATTTTATTTTTCATCAATCACAATATTTTAAGTTCTGTATATTATGGAGATTTTCCTCGTCAGCCTCGCAGTGAACACACGTAACGGATTCAGCCGAAAGAATCGATGTTTAAAGTAAATTTGTTTTTATATTCTTTTGGGGCTTAAATTTACTTTTAAGAATTAAGATAAATATTTAATGTCATGAAAAATGTGTTATTGTATACGCATATTTTATAAATTGTTTTTCCAGTCCCCGGTCGTAGAATAATTGTAATTAATAGGTGAATATGAAAATTGTTTACTTGAAAAAGACATATGTTTTGGTTTAATTTATAGATATATATGTTTTAACTGATAATAGTCATAAAATACAATTTTAATTTATAACTGGTAATTTTTTTTCAAATCCAACGTTATAAGTTATGGGTAACTATTAACTTAGTGTAACATAGGTACTCAACTTCTATTGCTCTCCTAATATCTATATCATAGGACTCGTAGATTGTGATAAATTTTGTAGAAATTTGAACTTTAAATGCCTATAAAACAAAACGTGCTTATGTATTTCTAATATTTTTTAACTTCTATTATATCAACTTACGAGGAACTTTGTACCTACCTATTATTTTTAAGCTTTTTGACCCGACGAATAAAATTTTAATGACATTTATAGAATACAGAACTAAAAACATTTCATAACTCAAATGTCTTTAATAAATCACTGAAAACGAGTCGAAATATTTTGAACATTTTATAATGTATAGAAAATGATAGTTTAAACATTGGATGGACATTTTAAATATCGACGGTTAATAGTTGTTGAATAACAACAAAATAAGAAAATGGTTTTACGAGAATAATATACACATTATTGTAAAATCAAAACATTCATTGCTCCCGTAGTCCGCTCTAAAAAACAAACTAATACATAATAGTTAAGTAGGTATAAATGTATAATACAGATTAAACATTATACATATAAAATATAATATCTGTAACGCTTAGGTCATAAGAATATTGTTGAACATTTTACTGCAGGCTGCGTGTTTTTTCAGAAATGGTATTTAATTCGTCAGTGAAGATTTGTCAACTGGGAATAATATATCATAAGCAGACTGAAATGTGTGAACGTTGTAGTATTTCGAAGACTAAGTTTTATGGCAGATTTTGATTCGGACACGGGGTATGTATTTTCTTCTTTTTCAGTAGGTTTCTTTTTATTATAGTTAATCGATCAGGGTTGTATTGTCCGAAACTTTTCAATTATTTGTATTGTTACCTTCTATACTGGTATAACACTATTCTGGCTATCAATAAAGTCGTGATAAAAACTAGGAAATTGGTCAGGTATGATCTTTTTTGGTATGTAAGTACTAATTCTTTTGAGTAGATAATTCGTTCAATTATTTAAATATTTTCACCGATAATCAAGTACGTTGACTTGTAGGTAACTAGAGACTGAGTGAATAGGAATTAGGAAGTGTATCAGTGTATGATGTGGCGAAGATAAGGAAAGAGGTCATTAGGATTAGGTAGTGTAGGAGTGACATATATATTTAAGTGAAAACAAGAGAGACTAGGTTGAGGTGGTTCGGTCACTGTAGTGAGAGAAGCTAACGGAAGTAGGTAAATGTAGGGGGAAAGTGAGAGGCGAGAAGACTGAAGAAGTGATGGGTAGATAGAATACCGATGATAGTATGGAGGTTCTGGAGAAGCGGGTGGCTGAACGTGTATAGTTGTGTGAGAAGGGGGAAGAAAAAGTGTGAAGGTAGAATAGTTAGGTTGACAATACCGAATACGTAGGAAAGGATCTCGAATTGCAAAGGCCACTCGACTCTTTGGCTGAAACTACCGGCGGTAGGTTTACAACCTAGACTTATGGGATAGAATAAAAAGATCGGTAGGTTGCCGGTTGGGATGTCAGTGCACTATTTGTTTCCATCTTTGACCCACGCGAAGTAACATCATAGGCGCTATTGGGGGATGGGGGGGGGTCTAGGGGGCGGGCTTATAGCCTAATAAAAAAATTATGCGGATCTGTATTGATTTCATGAAGTAGCCAACGCGTACTACGTATCGAAGTACGTTGGCTACTTTATGGCATTTTAATTATTATAATATAAGTTATGACTTATAATATTAAGTAAATAATTAAAATTTAAAATGCTTATAAATAATTAAACTAATTCAAAGACACACAAAAAAAATAATATTTAATGTCTACTAAAAAAATTACAATATATATATATCTTAATAATTAATAAACAGTTGGGCAACTATTGCTTAAATGGAGGCTGTAGTCATCACCAGC